AAGTCTCTCCTGTTTTTGCGACTAATCAGAAGCAAGATATAAATAGTATTCAATTTCTGATCCTTAGGAAATTTCAAATCAGATTTTCTCTACTGAAGTTGCTGAAGCCTACTTTCACTGTTGTCCAACAATGATTAACTCAAAGAGCTAGCAGCAAATTTTCCATCTTGAAATCTAGAATCACTTTAAGTTGTTGAGGGAAATGGCATAGAATAACAATGGAAAAAGTTCATGATTCACTAGCTACTCTGACAAAGCATCATATACCCAGGAAGTGAGCAAAGAAGAGCCTGTATGAAACACTGCAACGGATAAATGAGAGAAGGAAGAGAACATTAATTTAATAGTGACTTGGCATTAGATAGATAGAAATTCACAAAGGATGAAATAGACCCCTGTGTAAATTCCCAGGGATAAAGGCCAGCACAAGGGGTAGGTATCACTTAAGTCCTCCAAATAGGGTTTAAATTGGATTTAAGAAGGGCATAAACCTTGTGCAGGGTGACTGCACAGTGGAGAATGTCACCAAGAAGAGGCCAAAGAGGAAGTCATAACATTGGCAGAGAAGAACCAGACAGGGAAATATACACACGTACCTCACAGTGACCTGGATAGCAAAGATAGCAAGAGTTAGTTGGATTTCTTATTTTGTCACCAAAGAACAGTGTGCTAAAAGGCACATGAAGGGATAGCATCATCTTGAGGCCAGTAGGAGGGAAAAGGTATTATGGAGGACAGATGATGGCTTGACAATGAGCTATCAATAACATACTGAATATAATCTGGTATGAGGTACAAACAGAAATGAGGAATCCCTAATAGACTTCATAGATTCCGTGCTCTTCTGCCTTTCTAGAAAGCTGTGCTTGAAGTAGTTTTGTTTTAGGTAGGGGCTTGGGGAGGTTGGTGGGGAGAGGAGGTGGTTAATGCTGTTAAATAGTGGGACAAATTAATCTGTGGTGTAATTGTTCTGGGACTTGATAGAATCCCACACAGACAATAGCTATCTGTGATAGAATCCCACACAATGACAGATGGAATCCCACACAGACAATAGCTATCAAGTCCCAGAACAATCAGCCATCAGGTAATTTACTGACTGTGATACAATAGTCTCTTGGAATAGGAGGAGTTTAGAAGATGAACTGTGATATGGTCCAAAGAGTTACCAATGACAAACTAATCACTCATCTCCTGGGAAGTGTTTAGCCAGGTAGAAGTTAAATCTTTACTGGACTTTGCAGTTACAGAATTATGGTCCAGATGTTCATGTTCGTGGACTTCCTAAGCTAAATAGAAATACAAAGTCCCCATCATCATGGGTCACCTACAAGCTTGTGACATCTGCTGGCAGGAAGAAGGAAAAACATGCTGTGACACTGCATTGACAAGGAAGTAGGGTCCAAGTGCCTTCTGAGGAAAGTGGAGAGTGGGAAGTCTGGCACCATCACATTTTTCTGAGTGTGGACAATGTTCACGTAAGGGGACAAGCCTTTGGAGTTTCATTAAATATAATGACAACCTGGCAAGAATGTACCCCATTGTGTCACTCCTGACACACCGAGAATGCTGCATCTTTTGGGCTCCTGGGTGGCCAGCCAAAGGATAGAGGAAGAGGACTGATAGGAGGAAGAAAGGGAAGGAGATGAAGGCTTTTGTGGAGGGAGTTGGAGAGAAGACTATTCACTGGCAAATTGGCATAGTCGCCAATGTCTCTGATATCAGCCTTGACAAATTGGCACTGAGACAGTGGAACTGGTACCTCTGAAGTGCATGTCAGTTGTTGCTGTGGAAGCCCTGTTGGCTGGATTAGCTTGGATGAGAGAAACAGGAATCTAGGTGCTGGTGCTCTGCACAAGAACTTCCTCACCTTCTTCTTCCTCAGGTGTATGTTCTCATTAGGATGACCAGATGTCCCGATTTTATAGGGACAGTCCCAATATTTGGGGCTTTGTCTTATATAGGCGCCTATTACCCCCCCACCCCCGTCCTGATTTTTCACACTTGCTGTCTGGTCACCCTAGTTTTCATTGAAGGGAACTGTCCAAATATTGTGGAACCTTTTGTGCCTCAACATTTCATGTGACAACTCACCAGGCATGTCCAATTACCAAAGAACCTTGAGGGTCCAACAGTTCATCCAACAAACCCCACCTCTCTGAACAGAATCCCTCAGATGCTGTTTAACTAGCAGGAGGAGGGAGAATGTTAACCACAATGTCCCCTTTTTCTTAATCTTCCTTTTATTCCCCAAATCCCCGCTTTTCTCTCACCTGATCCTTATCTTTCTCTTTCATGGACCATTAAGGTGGGAGGAAAGGGAATATAACGAGCTCTACAGGCATTCTTTCCACTCTAGACATAAGAATGGCCATAGTGGATCAGCCCAATGGTCCATCTAGCCCAGTATCTGGTGCCAGATGCTTTAGAGGAGTGAACAGAACAGGCAATTTATCGAGTGATCCATCCTGTGTCTCCCAGCTTCTAGCAGTCAGAAGTTTGCATGAGTCCATGAAATATCCTCTTACTTTTTGTGTTTTACCCGTATGGAAATTGAGGAAACCAGTGTTACAACTAAAAATTTTAGTATTCAGCAGGTTTCAAAGGAAACCTACAATATATGTTCATTTTGAATGTAGTGAGTGAGACATTAGATGTGCCGCCCCCACTAACTTCAATGGGAGGAATTTTTTGCAGATAACTCCTTGTGTACTGTGCTGAAAATGAACCTCCTACATACTCTGAATATGAACATTAGGCTTTGGAGCATATGTCTTTGGGTATGTTTCCTTGACAGTGATTGTCATTCAGACATGTGAGGGCTCAGTAAGCGTGCAATTTTTTGCAATTATATGTTATATCAAATTATTATCCTAAAATAAATATTCCCTTGGCTATTATTAACACAAAAGAAAATGTTAGAAATTGATGTGGTTAATTTTCAGTTCCATATTATCTTTAATTAACACTGAAGATCATATTTCTTAGTGTGAAACTTAAATTAAAAATTTATAATCAATACAAATGGATACATACATTAAACAGCCTTCAGCCGATTTTAACAGATATTACATATTTTTAAAAATGAATCCTATGACACTTCTTTGGAAACTTCTTATGTATTTCTAATTAGTTCTTTGACATTTCTAACTGCTGTATTTCAACAAAAAAGAAAGTACATAAAAATCAGTTATTTTAAGTTTGTAATGCAACAAAAGAAGTTTAAATGATGAGATTTCAATTTTCAGTCTTCCGTGATGAAGTGCATTCATCTGTAAATAAAAAATTTAGAAAGCCTTTACAATGACATTATTTTAATAATTTTCTAATTAACATTAATGTACTTATACATACAAAGGGCAGTCACCCTTTCTTTAGTATACTTCACATATTCATGTGTTAGATGGATCAGTAACACAGCTATGAAATTTCTTATAAATATATGCTAATCCAACATCAGGCTTGAGATTTTAATAGCACAAAAGTGAGGAGACTTACATCTGGATGTTGTGAGCTCAATTCTGTTTCTATTGGAATAGTCAAAATCCTGTGGGATGAAATGCTGTCCCTACTGAAGCCAATGGGAGTTTTGCTATTGACATCAGTGGGGCCAGGATTTCACCCTCTGACTTTGGAAGGCCTGGAGCAGGCCCTATAATATGGTCTTGGGGATAAGTATATAATATGTAAAAATAAAATAATTATAATTTAGATTATATAGCACGCAAAATGCAATCTAGTGCATATGGTTTACACACTCTAGACCTGTTTAATGGGCTGGTACAATGTGTGTGCTTGTTTCTGAGTCGCCTTTGAGGGATTGTTCTTAGAGAACACCTTTGTGTAGAAGTGGGCCATATGGTGTTTTGTTTTATTTTTAAACTGTTTAAGTATTTGCATGAAACATACACCACAGATGGAGAGAAATTATTTGGGGTTGTAAGGAATCTAAATATTTGTGGGTTGGGATGGCATTAAGAAAAGGAACATTTAAGATGAAAAGCAAGGCAACTACCTCACAGTAAAATCTATTAGATAGGGGAGATTATTCCGCTAACAAATGCTGGAAGCACCCTCAAGCAAATCATTTAAAGAGGACTGGAAAAAGCATTGTAAAATATTCTGTATGTAACAATTCTGCATTGTCAAAGAGATGGATTAGATGTTTTAAGGCCTAATTCAGAACCCACTGAAGCTAATGGGAAACTTTCTATTGATTTCAGTGGACTTTGGATCAGGCCCCTAAATGGCTCTCTAACATCTTATTCTAATATGCCCTGGTTATTTTAAAAAATAAATCAATAATTTAAAAGGTTTGAATCAGGCTATTCCCAGGACACTAGCAGACATACCACATGAATATATGGAACACCACTGGGATACTAGCACAATCACTGGGATCACAAGGAGCACTTGGTTCATTCACATCCTGTGTCCTGTGATACTAGCACTTAATAAGGCATTCATGATGCTGATCTTGCCTCCTTCATACAGAAATATGTAAGATGGGTAGACTTCTATTTAATTAGACTTTCCATCCAACTATCCTATCATCCTTCTCTTTTTCACCTGTAAGCTCTTCAGATGGGCACTTCAGACTGTCTACCTTGACTTACCTTCCTCTAAATCCCCTCTAGCCTGGTTTCCACCTTCTGCACTTGGCTGAAACTGCTCTTACTATGGTCATCAGTGATTTGTTCCTAGCCAAGACTTGCAGCCTCTATTTTGTCCTCTGTTTTCTCGCAAGCTTCCCATGCTCTGTTTTTCCCTGACACCTTCTCCTTCCTTAGCTTTTGAGGCCTTCTCTTCTCTTGGCTCTCCTTTTCTGTTCTTTTTTGCTCCTGTCCAAACTCCTGTGTCCTGGAATGGAATATATTTGTAGTTGAATTGATCACTTAATTTTGAAATATACTTAGCTTTAAGAAAATAAGCCAATTTTATAGCCAGACTACTGAAAACTTTCTTCTTTTTTCAAATTGTTGTTCTGTTTTATCCTATAGCGGTGTGCATGTTTGAAGGCAGAACCTACTTTGAAGGACAGAGAGAAACTGTGTATTCAAATTCAGGGGACTGTGTTCTTTTTGAGTGCAAGGTAAGAACACCATTGATGGGACCCTTTTCTTTCAATAAATCTGTTTAAAATGTCTTATAAGGTCCTGATGAATAAAAATGTGTATGTATCTACTCTGAAAAGTGACTTTTAAAAGGGCATCAAGGGGTTTCCATGCTTACTTTGTCCAGCTGATTTCCACATCAAATTTTACAAATCAATATTTTTTCTAATTGCCAGCCCTGAAAATTCAACCTGGGATCTCACAGTTGAGCTGGGTTCTTTTTTATTTCTTATACACTATCATCAGTATTAAATATCCTGCAAGCCACATTATGCTCTCTTTTGTATCAGTGCAGCCCTATTTTCTCCAGATTATGTGCTCAGCTACAAGGGGGTTACACAAATGTAAATGAGAACAGAATTTGGCCCACAGGATATTTCTTGCCTGCAATGATGTATGAGAAGGAAAGAATGCCACTTGACTGTCAAATCTCAGGTTGTGTTTAGAGGGTTGGCAGTTTGGTAATCTATCATTCTACTTGTAAATGGAGCGTATTGGATATTGAGTCAGATACACTAAACATTGAGCCTTACAATATCATTTTAACTCAGTCGCTTTTGAGAGCAGAAATGCAATTTAAGGGCAAAATGCTACAGTGTGCGTCTACAGGTGGAAAGTGCACAAAGAGATACCAAGGTGGAATGCTGCTGTGCTTCCCCAGGTGTGGAGCTTGCTATCGGCTAGAGAAATGCATGATTCAGGGTGGAGCTGAAGAATTGTGTGCGCTTTTCTAGTGGGGGAAAGAGAGGCAAGACCTGTCTGCTTATTGCAGGGGTGAAAGCAGAAATAGGGACTTACCGGTATGGGGTTGGGTTGGGGCCAGGTCTGACCCCTGGAAGGGGCGGGGCCTTGGGCAGAAGGGGCGGGTATGGAGGGATCAGAGCCAGCCCTGGCCCACCCTGTACCGGTAAGTACCCTCTCCTGCCCCGCTGGGGTAGCAGCGGCAGCCGGGGGCTCCGGCAGCAGTTTAAAGGGCCCAGGGCTCGGCTACCGCTACTGCCCCGGGCCCTTTAAATAGCCGCTGTAGCCTGCTGGAGCGGCGGTGGGGCTCTGGCGGCTATTTAAAGGGCCCAGGACAGTAGAGGCAGCGGGAGCCCCGGCCCTTTAAATAATCCCCGGTGCCCCACTGCCGCTACCCCAGGCTCCAGCAGCGGGGATCTGGTGGCAATTTAAAGGGCCTGGGGCTCCAGCCGCTGCTGGGCACCCCAGGCCCTTTAAATTGCTGCCTGGGGAAGCCGAGCCGCCCCGGTACGGCGCACCGGCTCTTGCCGGTATGCCGTACTGGGGTGTACCAGCTTACTTTCACCTCTGGCTTATTGTAATGTTGTCTCAGAGTCCAACTGCCATATACAAGAGAATATACATTCCACAAGGTCTGAGTTGGAAGAAACTGCTGTCCAAGAGAATGGGAGCAAAGGCTCTTTCAGCTCCAGCTCCTTAAAGCTGTGGATGTCAGGTAAATGTGGCAGATAATACTTCAGCCTCACTGCCGTGGCTGGTGCTTCCCCTGAATCTACCAGACCCTTTTTCCCTCTATTGGAAAGCGTGCATCTGTCCTTGGACCTCACTGTCACCTCCTCCAGCAGGATATTGTGCCAGAGTTGCTTTCTGTGCCACTTTACTATAGTTTTATGAACTGGTGATTATAATTTGTCAATAAATCTATTTTAGAAATTAGGTCTATAGATGAAGGGATACATGCTGATGGACTTAGTCATTTGTGAGTATCTCACTACTAGTCACATTGAAATCAAGGGGCTGGGGGAGGTGCAAAACCAGCCGCTAGAGAAATAAGGTCTGAAGTAATTCTGGAAATATAGCTTAATCTGCCCTACAGTTTTTAGGACTGTGAATTGCTATTTTTAACACAATCCTTATTGGTGATCAATGTGTATATGAATAACAATCATCAAAGTCTGCATGGTGCTGCCTTGTATTTATTGCAGTTAGAAATTATGAGGTCCTATTAGCGAACAGTGAGGCAGCACACCCGGCTTGACTCTACCTGCCATTGGTAGTGGGTACATATTTGGCCACCTTACTTGTCTCTCACTGTGCTCTTAGAAATGTTGTATGGCAACTTTGGTGATAAACATTCTGAATCTCAAGCACTGAAATACTTATTGCTGCCAAGAAAGCAACACTAGGAATGACATTTCAGAGCAACAAATCTACATACTGTCAGATGTGTAGATAAAATGGGGACCCATAGGCAGATGCTATTTTATTACCTACATATTTCTACACATAATAGAATCTAGTTAAAGACATCTGCTCAAGAGAGACTTGAGAGTGATGGCATAGGTACTGATTTTTTGCTTGCAGGCCAGTGTTGATGTTATCAGGGCAGTTTAGGGAATTTATTCTTCTGGATTTTGTTGTGCATAAACATGGAAAATCCCTTTTTTTTTCTTGGTTGCTGCAGTCAGGCACATTTTCCCATTCAAATCTGAAAAAACAAAGAAGCTCTGCAACATTTCAGTCACATTTAGCAATAGACCACATTGTTATAAAGGCCAATGCTCAGCACGCACACTTTTAGGTGGTTTTTGGGTGTTTTGTGTGACATACAGTATCATTCAAGGTCTAGTTTAGTTTGTTACAGGTTCGGGTTTCCTTTTGGTTATGTGCCATGGAGTCTGGGAAGATCAGTCAGTGAAGACTGAGCAGTGGTTTCTGATGAGTTATTTTCTCATCCTCATTTTTGTCCTAGGAAAATAATGTTAAATGAAACACCAACTATATAACAATAGTATATGCAATGCATTAGGCACTATCCACACACAGAGCTTTATATTCTAAGAAAAATTCTGAATGCTTTTCAGGAAGGTGTTGTGCTGCTGTGATTTGTGCCTTTGTGTCTCCAAGACTACATCATTGCAATGCACTCTACTTGGGGCCATTTGGAAACTAAAGCTGGAGCACAATATAGCAGCTTGCTTGTTAAACCGGGTATCTTACCCATGAGCATATTACATTTATTCTGTCTGATCTCCACTGGCTGCCTGTGGATATACAGGCGGGATTTAATGTACTGGTTTTGACCTCTGAAGTGCTAAATGGCCTGGCACCAGTCTATTCAAGAAACACTCTCCTCATGAGATGCCACTGCCTCTGCCTTGGGCCATAGGGCCACAGTTGAGATCAGACAGGGTACTCAGGCTAGAGATCCCTTAAGGTAAAAGAAAGGAAGCTGCTAGCATGGCATTATTTGTGCAGTCCTCCTGGCTTTGATCCCCTGCAGTCTGTAAGAGAACTAATTTGTTGACCTTATAGGCATGATTTCTGGAGAAGCTTATGAGGACAGGGAAGCTGCGTGAGGATAATTTTGGGGAAGGATGAGGAATGTTTCCTTATTTTTCATTTACTAAATAGGTGTGGTTTCTGCTATATAGTGGAGGTGTCTGCTGGTTTTGTTAAGTTTAGTTGTGATTTCAAATTGTCAAAGGTACCTGGAGTTTGAGATAGGCACCTTTTGCTGTCTGTCTGTTATAAATCTAAATGCATAAATAAAATAAAGGCATTATTCAGCTGCATTTGTTATCTCCAGTATTGAATAATTACCTTAATTTAATAGGACCACAAAATGCAGCGCACTACAAAATCGGATTGCCCAACCTTGAACTGCCCAGATTCTCAACAAATCTCCTTGTCTCACAGTTGCTGCAAAGTTTGTAAAGGTAAGAAAATAGCAGGATCTGCCTGTGCTCAATGTAATGTGCAGTATCATTTTATTAATTTTTTATAGTTTTGGAAAAAACATCTTTTTCATTATTGGAGATACTGTAAAACTGAATAGATAATGTACACATCAAGGAGTCTGAAAACTTGTTTGAATGAGGTGTAATAATGTAAATTTTGTTGAATGGGGCTGGCAGCATTCTTGTATTTCATACAAAAGAGAAATCCTAAGGGATTATACATGATTGATGTCACCATTTTAAAATGCTTCATTTATGCATGCGCGTGCACACACACATCCCTAAAGGCCCTTCTGCAGTGGGCATGTGCTTTGCAGATCTATAGAAAATTAGAGTAAATTTGTATCATTTCCCCCTCTTAGCAGTTTTAGATTGCCTTCTGAATATAGAATCAAAAGCTTTGGGAACTATATTGTACTGCACTTCTTAAATTTTTACACGTAGGCCAAACAGATGGAATGTGCCTGGACTTTCAGTGCAAGGATAGAGATGTAAGGAACTGCCCAGGGCTCTGTGCTGTACTGTTATAATACTGGGTAATATTGGTCACCTCCCAGCTGTGAGCAGTTGCATCTTCAAAGCAGAAAGTCTGTTCCTATTTCTCCAATAGCTAAACTGTGATCAACTGAGTTCTAGCAGGAAACAAGCCATCACACTCTTTGGCTTGGCTTAGATATACATTGATTTGGGGAATACTGGAGTCGTACATGCTACACAGACAGAAACAATATGATTAATGACATCCTGAAGAGAGATAAGACTAAAATGGAAGAAAAGAACTTAACAGAAGTGTGCTAAGGTCTTGAGGTCTAATCACAGTAAAAAGGGATTTTTTTTCCTGGTAAAAATTTACAGTAAATCTTAAAAAAAAAAATCTGCACTCATTGAGCCTGGATACAAGCTCAATAAATCTAATAGCTGATGGATTTAGTGCTTGTTTCTGAACATTTTTAATCCTGAATGGATCATCCTAGCCTTGTCTCTCATGAGCTATGGATCTTATTCTTAAAATCATACTTTGATACAGTATTAATCTGCAGCACATATTCTCCTATATTGGTTTGTAGTTTGTGGAGATCTATTGATCAGTGGAAAATTGTACACTTACTATTCTGTAATGCTAAGGTTCTGATACAAACTGATAAAAGCCAGGAAATTCAAAACTAAAGGCTGACACTTTGTCCTTATTTCAGACTTCTGTGAGGGAGGAAGAAAAAAAATAGGACAAAGGGTGGCCTCTGCTGTTTGTCAGCTATAGGGTCTTGATGTGCACAGCACTCCATCAGTATCAATGGGAGCTGTGAGATGTGCTGAGAGCAATGAATGGCCCTTAATGTTGTTTAAAATGTAGGAATTTTTGCTCCTGAATTTCCTGTTTCACATAATAGCAGTGTGGTAGTTTAAAAAAAAATGGGAAGTTGTGAAATACATGTACACTACTGCAACAAACCATGCCGTGGAGGGTATTATTGTAGTCCTTTAAAAAAAGTGTGCCTCAGTTACCATGGTAGAGACATGAAGTTAGTATCATTATCATATCAGCAGTTCAAAGTTCTCTCTGCCTATACTGTGGATTTTTTTGCTCCTCCGATTCTGGTCTGCCTGGCTCTTATACCTTCAGACTGTGCTCATGCATGCAGAGACACCCCCATTCCCCCAGGCCAAAACAGCAGTGACCTCCACACCTCTGACTATGCCCTCCAAGCAGATTCTAATTTTTTTCTATTTTAAATGCAAACATAAACATTATTGAAAAGTTGAAGAAGATGGGAGATGTTTCATTAACAAGAAATGATGCAGCAGGCAAGTGGAGTTGTAGGGAGAGAGATCTTTATTGAGCATGAATATAGGTCTTTGCTGCATATTGACAGGTTTGGGTTTCTCCTGGTGGCAGCCTCACCCCAGCTTGCACTACTCAGCCGTTCCTGTCACACCAGGCTAGGTCCCTCCTGAACCCTGATCAGTTCTGTGCATTGTACTATAGGAGCCTTGTGCAAGGAAGCAGGAACTGAAAAAAGAATAGTGAAAGATTACTGTTTGGCTAATCCTAATACTGATTTTTTTAACAAGTCTAGAGCAATTAAATCACTGAAAATAATAATAAAAAGTAGGGCTGTCGATTAATCGCAGTTAACTCACGCGATTAACTCAAAAAAATTAATCGCGATTAATCACACTTTTAATCACTGTTAAACAATAGAATACCAATTGAAATGTATTAAATATTTTGGATGTTTTTGTACATTTTCAAATATATTGATTTCAATTACAACACAGACTACAAAGTGTACAGTGCTTGCATATTTTTTATTACAAATATTTGCACTGTAAAAATGATAAAAAAAATACTATTTTTCAATTCACCTCATACAAGTACTGAAGTGCAACCTCTTTATCATGAAAGTGCAGCTTACAAATGTAGATTTTTTTTTGTTTTGTTTTTTGGTTACATAACTGCACTCAAAAATGAAACAATGTAAAACTTTAGAGCCTACAAGTCCACTCAGTCCTACTTCTTATTCAGCCAATCACTAAGACAAACAAGTTTGTTTACATTTACATTTATATTTGTTTGCATAATTCTGACCCCTTCTTATTTACAATGTCACCTGAAAGTGAGAACAGGCATTTGCATGGGACTTTTGTAGCCGGCATTGGAAGGTATTTACGTGCCAGATATGCTAAACGTTCGTATGCCCCTTCATGCTTCGGCCACCGTTCCAGAGGACATGCTTCCATGCTGCTGATGCTCATGATGCTACCTCTCTGTGGTAATTGAAATCAATATATTTGAAAATGTAGAAAACATCCAAAATATTTAAATAAGTGGTATTCTATTATTCTTTAACAGTGCGATTAATTAAAAAAAAAAATTGTTAATTACACTAGTGGCTGATCTCCTTGGGGGGAGAATTGTATGTCTCCTGATCTGCCTACCCACCTTCTGCCCTATATTTCATGTTATAGCAATCTCAGATCATGACCCAGCACATGTTGTTAATTTTAAGAACACTTTCACTGCAGATTTGACAAATCGCAAAGAAGGGACCAATGTGAGATTTCTAAAGATAGCTACAGCACTTGACCCAAGGTTTAAGAATCTGAAGTGCCTTCCAAAATCTGAGAGGGATGAGGTGTGAGGCTTGCTTTCAGAAGTCTTAAAAGAGCAACACTCTGATGCAGAAACTACAGAAATTAACCTTTTGCTGGTGGCATTTGACTCAGATGATGAAAATGAACATGCATCAGTCTGCACTGCTTTGGATTGTTAGTGAGCAGAACCCGTCATCAGCATGGACGCATGTCCTCTGGAATGGTGATTGAAGCACGAAGGGACATATGAATCTTTAGCACATCTGGCATGTAAATATCTTGCGGCGCCGGCTACAACAGTGCCATGCGACCACCTGTTGTCACTTTCAGTGACATTGTAAACAAGAAGCAGGCAGCATTATCTCCTGCAAATGTAAACAAACTTGTTTGTCTGAGCGATTGGCTAAACAAGAAGTAGGGCTGAGTGGACTTGTAGGCTCTAAAATTTTACATTGTTTTATTTTTGAATGCAGTTATTTTTTGTACTTAATTCTACATTTGTAAATTCAACTTTCATGATAAAGAGATTTCACTACATTATTTTTATTAGGTGAATTGAAAAATACTATTTCTTTTATTTTTTACAGTGCAAATATTTGTAATAAAAATAATAATATAAAGTGAGCACTGTCTACTTTGTATTCTCTGTGGTAATTGAAATCAATATATTTGAAAATGTAGAAAACATCCAAAATATTTAAATAAGTGGTATTCTATTATTCTTTAACAGTGCGATTAATTATGATTATTTTTTTTAATCTCTTGACAACACTAATAAAAAGGAGAAAAGGTAGTGCAGCCCAACTGTACAAAATATTGATATAGTGTGTGAAAATTATACGGAAGCTTAAAATCACCCATAACCTGTTTGAATTCATCACAGTAAAGAACAGACTCACCAAGTATAGCAATACAGTGGTGTTGGATTTCAGGAAATCAAATTTGGGGAATTAAGAAATCTATTGAGTGAATGGGAAGACTCATTTAAAATCTGCTATTTGGGAGAAAGCTAGAAGCTCTTATTAAAAATACATTAAAAAAATCTCTCTTAAAAAGAGGAATGCAAGAAACAAGGAGCCAGTGTGACTTCAAGAGGAGCTGCTAACAATAAGATTAAAAAGGAAACGTCATTGAAATATCAAGAGGTAGCACTTATACAAGAATATTCAGTCAGTTAAGGCTTGAAGGGAAAAGATAAGGGCAACAAAAAAAGCAAAATAAGTTAATGTTAGCCAAAGCTTTCAGGGAATATGAATGGGTTTTACAAATATACCTGGGGAACAATAAGTGCTTGTAGGAAAGCAATCCCATTAGTAAATGGGCTGCTGAGTTACTGAGCAACTTCTATAAATTCCAACTTTAATAAGAAAAATGAAGAAAAAAGTTGAAGTTCCTGTAAAAATAACCATTGACAAAAAGAAGGTAAAGGGATTTAAATATGCTACCTAACAGACATCAGATGATAATAGCTTCTTTTCATCACTGACCTGGAGTTGAATTTAAGGCCAAGAGATGACAAGCTCTGTACCTACACTATTCCCCTGAGATGCTGCATGCCTAATATCAAGGTAAATTGTGTGTCTCCTAAGAAAAATAGTTTCCTGAGTAGGATTCTGTAGCCTAACTGAGAAAAGACTGGAATATATTCAACAGAGAAGATGTTTTATCTTTGGATTCTTTTTAACTAGGCTTGAAAATTATATATTTTTTTATATATAATTTTGACGGATGATGTAGATGTTTTTTTTTAAGCATTTAGTTAGTTCTTTGTTTTAAATGTTAACAGTTGTGTGAAATTATGGGGGTGGTGGTGGATGTTTGTGTGACAATAAATATTTAATGACAGACATCTAGATTAAAAAACGTAAGTGGAGCTACCTAAGTGGAGCTCTGCTCCAGCTCCACTGTCTCCCATTTTATACACATTAAGGTAGGACTCTAATAAGTTCTCAAGCTGCATTTTTCTTACTTTGCCTGCCTGTAAATTTTGATGATTTTGGATGGAAATATTTTTTCATCAGTTTGGTGAAATCGATGTTTACTGACACTGGTACAAATCGAATCCTTTCAAGCCTATTTTTAACAATCACTTTCGTTTTCATACAGGCCATAACTTTTGTTCTGAAGGACATAACTGCATGGAGCATTCTGTCTGCAGAAACCTAGAGGACAGGGCTGTGTGTAGCTGCCGAGATGGTTTCAGAGCCCTTCGAGAGGACAATGCCTACTGTGAAGGTAACCCATTGTGAAGATGCTCAGCTGTATAAAGTATAGTGGATTACTGCATGAAGAATGTATTAATTCACAAGTTTTCAAAGTGATGGGCCCATTAAATGCAGCAAATTTAATTTGCAGAATATTAATCAGCTAAAATAATTATCTCTCAAATTAAGAATTTTTTAAAAATCCCCGATCAGTGTCAGTTATAAGTTAATATGGCTAAATTCTTGAATTTGAAGCAATACTTCCACTGCAAAATCTGTTCTCTTTTCATTAATCAGATATTCCGATAACCTAAAAGTCACACATTAGAATAGCTTTTAGTTGGTACACATTTTAGTGTAGCTTTTGGTGGGGACTTTATTTTGCCATTAGCTCCTTCCTCCCCCGCAATATAGTAAGTAAACAATACTGACCAGATTCTAATACCTTTACTCACATTGTGTAAAAACTTACTATTTTAACAGTCCCACTGATTTAAAACCAATGCCCCACTTACCAGATAGAGGCAGTTTCTATAGTTCAAATTTTAACATGCTCATAAAATTCTAATAAAAACATCGCAGCTGTAGCAAGATATGTGCCAAATATCACTCTGCTTTCATGTTGCCTTCCTCTCTCCTGCCGTCCATCTGTGCCTTTCTCATGAAGGCCCTGATTCTGCAAACACTTACAAAACACTTAACTTTCAGTGGGATCAGTCACGTAAGTTCTTGTAGGATTATGGCCCTCAGGTTGTAAGGACTTTGGGGTTGATTCTTTTGGCCCAATTTTGCAAACAATAATGCATATAATTTTATTTTAATGAGTAGTCCCATTGACTTTAGTGGTACTATTCACATGTAAAATTAATAATGTGCATAAGAATCTGCAGGATTAGAGTACAATTCTATTTCACAGAGACCTCTGTTTAACAGCATTTTGTGACCTATTGTCTTGAGTAGAGCTTTAAGTCATGCAAGAGCAAGTCCTGCTACTCTCTCCATGGCCTTGAGGGAGGGATTGCTCAGTGGTTTGTCAGCATCTGAGTCTAGTCCTTCACTTTCAGAAAGAGGATTTTTTGTTATTGTGATTAAGAAATGATACAAGGAATTTAGTTTTGTTAAAGAATATATACAATTTAATCTTTTATTAATGTTTTTAATCTTTTATAAATTAAAATGTATTGTGAAAATAATACTGAGGTCTGGATTAGGAGCGAGGAAGGGAAGGGTTGGGAGGCCAGGTGGGAGTACTTGTGTGTATGTGCCAGGGACAGTGAGGGGAATTAGGGATGGGAGGGTCTGTCAGCCCCACATTCTCCCCTCATGTTTGAAGCCACCCACTCCCCTGCTCCCGTTGTCATGCCAGGCCAGGTGATAGGGAGTGATGCCTCCCATTCGTAGCCTCATCTCTCAGGGCAACATCTGCAGGCTGGAAGGGGATGTGCCTCACACAAAGAGGGGAGGGAGAGAATGAGAAAGCAGGGACCGCTACAATGTGTGAGCTGGGGTGTGTGGGGCTCTGCCCCTCTATGTGGGATTTGATCCCCTCCGTTGACACTTCACTCCCTTGTTGTAAGCTCGGACCTTGCGGGGTGGGGCTGTCTCTCTGGGTGGTCTGATCCCCTCTCCCTGCCCCCCTTTGTGTGAGGTGGGATACTAAATGGGAATGAGAACAAACCAGTGAGATGAATGGAGCAGTTCACTCCTCTCAGAGCTGTTGTTTCAGACTGCATTCATCTCCAAGGGGTGTTGTCATTCAACTGTGAATATCTCATTGAGATGAATGGGCCATTTCACAGCTCTCTGAGCCTCCTGTGCTGAAGATGGATATGTAAAGCCCTGTCCTCACATATTAGGCCCAGATTTGGAACAGGGATTCTACATCTCCACTCTCCTGTCCCTTCTGGCCTCCAGCTGGCACATGTTCTCCTCAGACCCCACCTCCTCATGGGCCCTCCAGGCTTACCAAGGACATGGAATGGCAAGGAGGACTGTGGAGCTGGCATGGGGCCTCAGACCAGCAGGTGGCTGTGGGGGTGGTCAGAGCAATAGGTGAGACAGGTGGAATGTTAGAGAAGTTGGAACGGTTTCAGAGCAGTTGGAGGAAATATAAGGGGTTGGAACAGTGATTGGAAATGTGGGAGAGTGTTGGAACAGTGCTGGGAAGAGTGGGATGGAAAGGAAGGGGCTTAGAGATGTGAATTGAAGGATGTTGGAGGGGCTTTATTTCTGTCCCTCAAAACACCCCATATCTGTGCCCCCAATATTGGTCCCCCCTTTCAAAAAATGACCACATTGACTCCAGATTATTGCATAGCTTATTGAACAATTCCCAGTGGCTATTGCTAGGGACGGGGCAGGGTGGGGGAGGCAGCGGAGATAAGGTTATGTTTCTGGGGTGTTATGAACCTTAACTTTGTATTTCCTGGTTTTCAGTGGTTTAAATTTAGTTGTTGTTCACCTGCTGGAAGGATACAAGGCACCACTGGTCAACCTGAACTCTGTATTAGCCAAGTTTGGGGCCATTTTAATGTTAATACATAGGCATAAATGAAAACAAAGTCTCCTGATTCCAGATAACAAGGGACATTTTCTGATCTTAGATGCTCCTGTGTAAGGGCAGGTCTACACTATGGGATTAAGTTGATCTAAGTTACGCAACTCCAGCTACGTGAATAATGTAGTCGGAGTCGACGTAGCTTAGGTTGACTTATTGTGGTGTATACACCATGCTGGGTTGATGTGAGAAACTCTCCCGTCGACTTACCTTACACTTCTCATTCTGGTGGAGTACCGGAGTTGATGGAAGAGCGATCACTAGACCCGCTAAATCGACCTCCGGTGGATCAATTGCCACAGTGTCAATCCCCGGTAACTGTAGACATACCCTAAGTCTGTCCAGGTTTCAACCTCAGTTTCTGAAATGAGTCTGAACACTGATTGCTATTGTCTATAGTACAACTAAACCATGTTTGGCACTGGTTCAGATGCAACTGTTGCTGACGCCCATTGATACGGACGGAGACAGTGTAGACAGGCCTTAGGAGTGTTGTGGTTCAATATCTAAGTCCGTTGAAATCTTCAAATCTTCTTTCTATCTGGTGAGAATGCCAAGAAAGGTGCCAATTATTGCCAGCTGTAGCAATGATTTTGTAATGTGGGTTTGTGAATGTGTGCTGTTAATGGGAGCTAGAACGAAAGTGAGACAGACTAATAATTTCACATAGTGCATTGAACAAAACTATTATCTGCTGTTTCTTGGAATGCTCAATCAGGTCTTCCACTTTCCCACCATCTTCAGTATTCTCACATTTTAGTGTTCTACATTTTCATTCTGGCTTAAAGTTTAAGCAACAGTTACTACATCTCATTTCTGTTCTGGATATAAGGTGTAAAATACAAGCATGTTGTAAAAAACACATTTCCTCATTTTAACTTTGTATAATCTAATGCTATTAATCAGATTTCTTAACTACTGACAAGCCAAATAAAAGAGAAATTAAATTTTGTGAAAGATAGTAATTAACACTAATTATTTTTGGAATGCTAATTAGTTATAGGAACAAGTTTTTAAGGATTGTGGCATGACAAGGGGAATTCTGCAGAAGACAGAAGAAATCTGATTGTCATAGAATATCTGTAACATTTATATGTGCCTCAACATGCAATCAATGCAAAGTATACAAAAACACTCTGTATAGAGAACTGCAATATTATAGACCAAGAAGAGTCAGAGTAAATAATTTTAGCATGTGTTCTAAGCTGTATGAAATTGCAGATTCCTGCAGAAAGCCCAAGACTGGTAGAGTAGCAGAAAGGGAAATGTTGGCAAAAATTTCATCAATTTTTTTCCTCTTTTTTTCTTTTTGGACAAAAGATTTAATTGTAAAATGTCAATACAGAAAATTCTGACCAGCGCTAGTGAACTCTGTGCTTGGATCAGTAGGGGGTATACAGGACTGCATCATTCAACAGCAAAAAACTGTCGGGTTGAATTTCAGATCTTTCTGTATATTAGACCAGCGGTTCTCAAACTGGGGTTCACGGACCCCTGGGGGTCCACAAGCATACTCCAGGGGGTCTGCAAGTCATGTCCAGGGCCACCGGCCCTGCTGATCAACTCCTCCCCGTCCCTCCCAGTGCCTCCTGCATGCTGCTGTTCAGCGGCGTGCAGGAGGTGCTGGGAGAGAACAGGAGAAGTGGGGATGTGGCATGCTTAGGGGAGGGGGCAGGAAGAGGAGGGGTGGGGTAGAGCGGGAAGAGGCAGGGCAGGGTGGGGTCTTGGGGGAAGAGGTAGAGTGGGAGCGGGGCCTAGAGCTGGGTGGGGATTGAGCACCCTCGGGGAAAATTAGAAGCCCTCTTGGGGGGTCTTCAAAAAAATTTAATTCAAAATGGGGGTCCTCGGGTTGCTAAAGTTTGAGAACTGCTGTATTAGACTAGCAACTGATTGGAAAAAAGCAGGCTCTATTTTTTTTAACTCTGTGATAAAATGTTTCCATTAAAATCAAATGGAGACATTCGAATAGCCTAAAAGAGTCAGCTATCTAAATATGTTAAATACTGCAAGTCATTATTGAAGATTGTGGTGCTTGCATAGTTCTATTGACATTAAGTATCATACTCCACAGGAAGGATAGGTAGAACTCGGTCCTACTAGGAGCTCTGAAATTATAAAGATTGTCAGTCTGCAGTTGCACCCGGGAGGATTGGTTACATAAATTCCATTTTGTAGGGGGATGCTGCATTGAAATTACTTGTAACTAAGGAATTGAGATTTCCATCTCTATTAACTGGCAGCGTTTGAGTGATTACCTTGTCAGTTTGGGCTGGAAAATTAATCTAGCTGAAAAGCTTTCTTTCCAGGAGGGCAGAACATGATTTTAAAATCTATATTAAAAAGTATTTAAACATAAAGAAAGGAAACTGCATTTATTTTTCTGAACAAAGGAAATAAATGCAGTTTATTTTCACTGTTATGATACTGGGAATTAGTGGGCTAATCCTAATATGGCAATGTGCCTTACAAAGGCT